ACATTTCTGGTACATATGAATGAATCAATTGTAAACTGCGTTGAAATTCATTTCATTAATTGATGGCAACTATCCTTTGCATACATTTATTGAAATAACGAATACTAAATGGCTTTTAGTTTACTTTCAGTAGTTTATTGACCGTCTGTTTCAATAGAGAAGAGTTTGTTTAAAATAAAGGCTTTCTCCTAAATAAAACAGTTTCTGTATTCAATACATTTGAGTTTATACACTACACCATTATAATTGTGATTATTGCCAACTTTATAGTTAATTAGATTTAACCCCCTTTTTGATGATTTGACAATTGAATGGTCACAGTACAGTACAGTACTGCTATAATTACTGAAATTTATAACAATACTATACGGTATAATAAATAATTAGCTTATATTTTTTGTCGTAACGTTATTTTAATGAAAAAATTACCAGGTAAAACATTTTATTATTTTTATTTAATTACTGTACTGATAATGATTAGTAATTACCCAGATAGTATATTTTATCATGAGTATTAAATGTTATTTAAAACAATATGATACATAAAAATATGAATATCTTTAAAATTCTTAGTATTACAATGACTCATTGTCAATGAGTATTAATTTTACAATAAAATTATGTCAAAAATAATATAAATAACATTGGTGTCAATTTCGAAAATTTACAATTAAATGTGACTAATCAAACAGTAAATATATTATTATCTTGTCGATTAGCATAGACATTCCCTTTCCCACCCCTCCCTATTTCATGCATTTTGACATTAATAGAAAACTTTTTAAAGTTGTGATCAATTAAGTCTAAAGTCAAGTAATAAGTGGTAAAACTAAATATATTTGAATGAAATAATACAAAATGACGGGTCATTTGCATCTAATCCTTAAAGCACTGCAACAGAAGAGACATATGACTGAAGACATGCAAAGACAGGCAGGGATTTGACAGAAATATACAATCAATTGGTTTATGAGATAAAAAGGAAAGCAAAAACAGGCGACGATTCGGTGTAAAAACAATTGTGATTCATATGGACTGATGCTTTGATCGCAAGAATTATTTGGTGTATCAGTGAAACTGGTTTTCATTTGGTCTGAAGTTTGAATGTCATTCAAAACGGAGTCACTTTTGGTGGCAATGACTGGAAACAGTTGTGGAAACGATTGGGAAGTGTTTGGCGATGGCTTCGAGGAGTCATTGATGTTCAATGATGTCAATGAAGTCGTTGTCAACATTTTCGTTGCAAAACTGAGTTTTCCAATCATTTGATACTTTAAAAAATATTTTCATAAACTTTAGACACTTTAGCCAACATTTGCGACAAACTATTGGATTTGGTTTCAAGTTTTAAGACATAATTCGTCGAAACACAAGAAACTCGATATGAAAGCAAAGTTTAGTCTAAAATTACTGATTTGTTTGCTCTACACGTCATATCAAAACTTGAAAATAAAGAGCACATAAACTTAACCTCTTTATGAATGCTTTATGAATGCATTTCTCTCTTTCCATTCAATCAGGATTTAAGTCATCAACAAAATGTTGACTTCAATTCAGGTAAAGAAAAGTCTTTCCCTTTAAATGACTTTCTTTCAACACATTTACTCAAAACAATTGACTTTAACTTTTAATTTTCAACTCTCGGTGCAATGCAAACATTACATTTAACACATGAAACAGTATTTTGAATATAATTTTACTACTTTTTTAAAGCATTGATTTTATAATTGTAAATTTTTAAAAAACTAAATTTATTTATAATACATTGTGATGTTTCATAAAATTTAACTCAAATGATTTATTACTATAATGTAAATGAATGTTGTAATTTTCTATTGGTGTATATCATTAAATACAAAATGTTTGAAATCCTGTTTTGAACTCAAATTTCTGGGAAATTTAATCGGAGAAAAGTTTGCTTCAAAAATGATAAACTGGATACAAGTTTGTGAAGTTTGAGAAGTTTGTGAGGACTCATGAATCGCTCATATTCTTACAGTCAGGCCATGAATTCATCGGTTATTAATGAGACAACAAATTCATTGAATGAAAATTGTTTCCAATTGTGTGAACACAATGTTGTGGTCAATACACAGCCAAAGATATCGACGAATAACCACAAACACGTCAATCATTTGGATGTCTCTCAACCGAGTCATACGATAGACAATTCAAAACATAGGAATAAATGCGATATTAGTGTGAAGACTGAGACTATGTCTGAATTGGTGTCCAATACTAGTGATAGGACTCCAAACACTTCAAACCAACAGTTGATCACAAATTCTAGTCATAATGGGGATGAGTCTCATGACAATTGCTATCAATGGGTCTGTTTTTGTTGTATTCATATATGCGATTAACTCATTCAACTAAATTGGACTCAATATTCATTACACATTAAGTGCAACATGTCTAATATGCAACATTAATTTGTTTATACAATAAATTAATATTTCACATTTGATATGAAAGTGAAATTAATATCAAGTTAAGTTTTATGTTTTTAGTTCAAAGTCATTATAAACATTATATAAATACTAATAGTATTGTATTAAAACTAATTTATTTTGTTTTCCTTATTTTCTTTGTGCTTACAATCAAACGAATCTATAATTTAAAGTTAATTTAATTGATGTGACATTTAAAGTATTGTCTTTCATAGAAATTAATTAATTTTAATTTACATGTAATTATTCTTTCAATAAGAAATGGATACTCATTAAAACATATTTAATAATTAGTTTTATAATTAATTTTCTTAGAGTAATCATAAGAAATATTATTTTAATGTTAATTAGTATAACATTGTTGACTTCTAATTAAATTATTTGTGTTTAATTCAATAATTGTGGTTAAGTTTATGTGCTCTTTATTTTCAAGTTTTGATATGACGTGTAGAGCAAACAAATCAGTAATTTTAGACTAAACTTTGCTTTCATATCGAGTTTCTTGTGTTTCGACGAATTATGTCTTAAAATTTGAAACCAAATCCAATAGTTTGTCGCAAATGTTCGCTAAAGTGTCTAAAGTTTATGAAAATATTTTTCAAAGTATCAAATGATTGGAAAACTTTTTTGCAACGAAAATGCTGACAACGACTTCATTGACATCATTGAACATCACTGACTCCTCGAAGCCATCGCCAAACACTTCCCAATCGTTTCCACAACTGTTTCCAATCATTGCCACCAAAAGTGACTCCGTTTTGAATGACATTCAAACATCAGGCCAAATGAAAACCAGTTTCACTGATACACCAAATAATTCTTGCGATCAAAGCACTCCATATGAATCACAATTGTTTTTACACCGAATCCGAGCCTGTTTTTGCTTTCCTTTTTATCTCATCAACCAATTGATTGTATATTTCTGTCAAATCCCTGCCTGTCTTTGCATGTCTTCAGTCATATGTCTCTTCTGTTGCAGTGCTTTAAGGATTAGATGCAAATGACCCGTCATTTTGTATTATTTCATTCAAATATATTTAGTTTTACCACTTATTACTTGACTTTAGACTTAATTTATCACAACTTTAAAAACTTTTCTATTAATGTCAAAATGCATGAAATAGGGAGGGGTGGGAAGGGGCATGTCTATGCTAATCGACAAGATATTTACTGTTTGTTTAGTCACATTTAATTGTAAATTTTAGAAATTGACACCAATGTTATTTATATTATTTTTGACATAATTTTATTGTAAAATTAATACTCATTGACAATGATTCATTGTAATACTAACAATTTTAAAGATATTCATATTTTTATGTATCATATTGTTTTAAGTAACATTTAATACTCATGATAAAATATACTATCTGGGTAATTACTAATCATTATCAGTACAGTAATTAAATAAAAATAATAAAATGTTTTACCTGGTAATTTTTTCATTAAAATAACGTTACGACAAAAAATATAAGGCTTGTATTATAAGCTAATTATTTATTATACCGTATAGTATTGTTATAAATTTCAGTAATTATAGCAGTACTGTACTGCACTATACTGTGACCATTCAATTGTCAAATCATCAAAAGGGGGTTAAATCTAATTAACTATAAAGTTGGCCATAATCACAATTATAATGGTGTACTGTATAAACTCAAATGTATTGAATACAGAAAATGTTTTATTTTAAACAAACTCTTCTCTATTGAAACAGACGGTCAATAAACTACTAAAAGTAAACTAAAAGCCATTTAGTATTCGTTATTTCAATAAATGTATGCAAAGGATAGTTGCCATCAATTAATGAAATGAATTTCAACGCAGTTTACAATTGATTCATTCATATGTACCAGAAATGTATTCAAATCTAATCTAATCGCTTAACAATACAATAATTGAGTGCTTTATCAGTGATTCATTGGTAACCAACAGAATATTTCATACGTTTTGTCATTTTAATAAAATTACTTACACTAAGAGATCAGTTTACAATTGTTCAGTCATTTCTCCATTAATTACTCTTTTTTTGACAAATCAATTGAAATTTGAGTGAATTTGTAAAAACTATTTCATTGATTATCGACTCGTATTGTGTGACAAATCAGGACAATGTCGGGACCACCGCCTCCTTATAACCCAAACCCAGGTATTGTTTGATATCATATTAATACGGTTTGAAGGCATACTAAATGTATATGAATGTCATGACAGGGCCGTACAACTACCAGCCCCAAGCACCCGGCCAGGCATACGGTCAGCCCGGTTGGAACCCACAGGCTCAACCTCAACCTCAGCCATACCAGCCCCAGCCTTATCAGGGTCAGCCATATCAGGGGCAGCCCTATCAGGGACAGCCATACACCCAACAGCCTTACGGACAACAACCGCAACAAACGATTATAATTCACGAACAGACGAACCGAAGAAATGACGGCATTTCCGACGAACAGTGCTGTTGTATCGCACTATTGGGTGCCTGTTGTCTGGCCTGTTGTCTCGCAGACTAACCACAAACTTATAGATTATGTATTTGCAGTGATTTTCTTATTTTATAAATTATTGTTATATTATTGTAACCAAAATGTTAAGTCATTTCCAGTATATGTTTCCTCTTTTAATGGTTTTATAATTAAAAAAAAGGTTTAAATTTATCAAATTCTTGTCATTTGAAATCATTTCCACAATTATTGCTGATTTGATGTGAAAAGGATTGAGTTTTGTGAGCAAATGATCTCATATTGGATTTCATGTCACTTATCAGGGGAGAGACGTCTCCACAGAGACAATCAAATTAACATTTCACTCAATTGTTTACATAATTACCAAACTTTTCATTAAAAATATGTTTCTGTCAATAGATATGATTGAATAGAATTGTGTCCACAAATCAGATGAAAGCAGAATATGTTTGACACGAATCTTCGTTAAGACATGAACTTTCAAAGTATGCAACAAATCAATGAGATTGAGACGAAAATAGCAAAAAGGCAAACATTTGTCAGTAACCCATATATTACCACAAATCTAAATATTTATTTAATCGACACAACGTTTGCATCAAAGCCTGTGTTTATCGTCGATACGCTTCTGAGAGTCCTTTGATTTACAAGTTTTTCACGTGTCAGACCATTCAGACATTCAATGTTTTTATTGTATAAAAAATTATAGATTTTGAGTACATTTTTATCTAATTTTCAAACAAATTTCTTAATCACAACATTTAAAAAATTATTCAAAAATGTCTTTAAACTGAGATTTAGTGAAACCTATAATTAATGGCTGTTTTATAGCATTCTTTAAATAAGTCTTATAATAAACTCAATAATCAGTGTTTTTATGTAATTAATTAAAGAATCATAATTTGGACCACTTTTACAGCTGTTTACTCATTCGCTAGTGATTTACAATTAAATCTCAATTTGATTAAAATACTGTTATTTTATACAAACATTTTGATAAACGAGTTAACATGTGAAGCATGTCTTAAAACAATCACAAAAATTCATTTCCAATAATTTAAACTTAACGGTGAGGACAAAAATGAAAAGTATTTTAATGATTAAATAAAAACAGATATTTATTTTTAATCTCAAATGTATAAAAGTGTGATATAGGATGAGATGTACATTCAACTGAGCAACAGTTAGATAAACGTATAGATAAGTTAGAAATTATTTCCATAAAAATCAAAGCAATTTGTAATCGTATATAAATTAAATATATTTTAATATAAAACTTGAGAATATTATCCTTATGTATGAATAATATCCTTATTTTTGTTTGCATTAAATTGTTTAATAAAAGTCTGATCGCCTTTTGTCGCCAAAGCTTCAGTTCATTAAGAAATTAGTTTAAAGCAGTTCTCAGTCTCTGTCCCTCTCAGTGCCCACACATTTGTCTCACTAATTGTTGGCTGCAATTCAATCAGGATTTTAGATATCAAATCAATTGTCAAAATCAAATTAATTTAAAAATCAACTTTTATTCTAATTAGAAATTAAAGGCAAATAATCAAATAGTTTATACTTTTAAAAACATTGGTAATGGAAATAATGCAAAATTCATTTGCCAACTAATCGTATAAAAACTCAAATTATGTCCAAATTCTTAAAAATAGTGATTTGTAATCAAAACTAGAGTTTTATTTATTGTTGTTTACATTCGGGCGGTTTGTCTCCACTATTGGCTGCTTTGCCCTTATGTCCGGTCGCCGGGTTCTGACCCTTACCTCCTTTCTTGCCCGCGCTCTTCGGCGGAGAGTAGTCCTCATCGGCGTCCGAGTCCTCCTCGTCTTCATCGTCGTCATCCTCCTCCTCGTCCTCTTCGTCGTAGTCTTCCTCCACATCCAGCGCTTCGCCAGTGAAGAACAGCACAGCCCTCGGGATTATCGACTGACGCAACAGTTCTCCCATTTCCCAGTCGGCCTGAAGCAAGTCATGGGTGTCATCATCCAAGTCGTCCAACTTCTCGGGAACTGATCCACAAGTCATACATTTAGTCAAATATACTCTATTTATGAGTCAATCAATACAGACCTTCGGGCGGATCGAAGAAATTGAAAAACGAGTCGCTCTTCACTGTTTTGGTGACAGTCCTGACCTGTCCTTTGGATTTGTGTCTTTGTTTCTTAGTTACGGTCTTTTCGGTCACATTCTTGCCTTTCTTCCAATCAATTTTACATCTTTTGGACCAAAAACAACACAATTAGTGTCTAGAAAGAGGCAAATAGAGGTCATGTCATGTCATACCCCCTACACTTGACAATAGAGATGCCGTCGTAAGACATGGGGTCGTCGTCGTCGGGACCACATCTCAGGTCATACTCTTTGGTGAGAATTTCATTATTGAAGAATTCATTGGCATTGAAGACAAACTCAATTTTAAAGCCCTAAACAAACAAATGTTTTCCAATCAATCACTCCATTCGCGAGCCATCTGTTGAGTGAGTCATACCTCCGGTTCCTTATTAAGAGTGACGCGAATGTCTTTCAAGTGCTGAAGAATGGGTTCGTCGTGTTCCTGAATATTCTCGGCAAAGATGTCCACATTTTTCAATATAGTTAACCAAAACTCGGGGATTCCCTTCACGTCTTTGTCCTCCGACTTCTCCTCGGCCTTCACTGCCTTCTCTTTGGCTTCTTCTTCGTCCTCGTCTTCAGAATCTGACGGATAATTGCATTCCTCGTCATTGGGTTCGTGGACACCATTCACGATATCATTCCTCTTCTGAAAGATGGGATTGTATTTCACTTCGTATTTGGTCTCCAATTCGTGTAACTCTTTGTAGAATAGGCTCTGAATCTTGATTTTCTCCATTTCTAAGTTCTTCAGCGCCTTCACCCGTCTCTTGACAACCGTCGGCAGTGTGTCGTAATAGCCAGACGGCAGGCCTACCATTCCCGCCAACTTGGACTGCATGGCCGCCAACACTTCCGGATTGTTCATCACTTGTGCGGTCAGAGCGCCCACTAAGACATCACACAAACGGATACCGGTTAATGACATTGACAGCAAACACGAGACAATCACCCAATTGATACATACATTGCTTTTCGTCCAGATCTCCGGACTCGACATCAATGGCAGCCGTGTTCTCCACGATTTGGCCCCTAATTCACACCATTTGACAGTTTTAGACATTTTTCAAACAAAAAACTTTTGTCTTCAGTACTCACTTTGAATTGTCTGCCATTTGGTTGCGATTTAAGTAATAATTTAAAAACAAAGACTAAACGAATGACTAAAAGGACTGCAAATGAAAGACACAAAACAATGAGATATTGGTATCAATTCGCAGATCCTATGAATGAATGGTAAGTTTGGTAGGAATGGCGCCAATGAGACAACACGTGAGACACTAATCGCCGACAAGAGTGCGGCAAAAGAGTGGACTGCAGTCTTGTCATGCAATGAATGGATTCGTAAATAATGGCAAATGAGTGGTGAATGCAATGAATGTGCGCCAATGAGACAACACGTGAGACACTAATCGCCGACAAGAGTGCGGCAAAAGAGTGGACTGCAGTCTTGTCATGCAATGAATGGATTCGTAAATAATGGCAAATGAGTGGTGAATGCAATGAATGCAAATGAAATGACAAAAGAGTTGTCAAATGAAGTGATAATTGAGTGAAAAGAGGGAATACCTGAGCAGTGAATGCAGTGAACGCACGGAACGACTGAAACAAATGCACAACAATTGTGTGAAACGGAAACCGGATATCACTTCACCTGATGTTCACTCCTTCCCAATACATCAATCACGTCCACTAAATGGCCAACAAATGTCAATGCATTCAAAGATTCAATGCATTGAACAAAGTTTTGAGTCCAAGTTTTGCTCTAACAGTAAAACATTGAATCAATATGACCATGATCATTGATCGTTGATCAGTCATGTTTTGTATGCTACGCAAGTAATGTGCTGTTATACAGTAGTACTAGAGTTTATTGTACTGTATGTCTGAGTATGTCTGGAGTCAAGTTTTGTGTGTCAATTGGATTGAAGTTTCATTTGAACACAAACTCTATGACAGAGTCTTTATTCTGTCTATTCTTGTGATACACTCTATTATGCAGTCATAGGTTCTCTCTCTCTCTCTCTCTCTCTCTCTCTCACTCTCTTTCTCTCTCTCTCTCTCTCTCTCTCCCTCCCTCTCCCGTGTAAGGGAGGGCTGAGTGCGGTGTTCACTGGAAGGTCAGAGCGATTCAGAGATTTGGAGTTTTCTAATAAGCGAAGTGCGAAAAAATTGAATATCTTTTATCGTTTCATGGATTTAATCGGAATTTATAATTAACTCATTTGTAAAGCAAATGCACTTTTGAAAAGACATTTATTATATTATTGTTGTTCTATTCAATTGATGTTCACTTTAATTAAATAAATTTTTATAACTTCACAACAAAATGTATTAATCGGCAAAATGTAAAGCATTACTCCCTATTGAATCATTTGTAACAATAAATACTAAATTAAAATAATGAGATATACACTCTTACATAATAAAAAAGGCATTTGAATTCAATTGAGGCGAACAAACAATTTTCGGCAATTGCTTTGCCATTCATTTGTTAACAACGGATCGAAATCTAATGATTAATTATATTTGAAAACAAATTCTATAACAAGGAATAGAAAGTTAACAAAAATCACAACTGAATAAAAGAAATACTTTTTGCTTTCATTTGTTGATCGCATTATCTGTTTTGGGAAACACATAAAAGACTGGGATATGTGTGCTCTTCAATCAAAAGAAGTGCTCGCAATCATTGAGGTGTCTTCAGGGTGGCCAACAGGTCTGTGGCTATGGCTATACCCATAAGACTATGGCTATGACTATACAGTATGCTTAGACACAGCACAGGTATAGATACCGCCAACTAAATTGTAGACCATTTGTGGCCATCACTATATATAAATGTGTATACCACTCAATACATGTATACTAATATTCTTGTAGTTTGAAAGTTTGTTGGCTATAGTTTGGTTATAGTTAGGTTTTGATTGACACATAATTTGCTTTATAGTTTGATTCCATAATTTGCTCCATTGGTGGTCGGACTACAACTTAAAGAGCACTGAGAGCACAGGCACTGAGCAATAGTGCCAATTGATTGCTTTAAAGTTTGGCTCATCGCTGCAAAAAGTGTGTTCAGGATTTGGCTCAATGTTTGTGTGTATAAAAAGATTGCATATATTCTGGAGGGGGTCTTACATTATGGAATGGTATTTGGAGATAGTGTGCACAATACATGTATAAAGGTTAGTCACTATACATGTGATGTGAAGTAATTAAGGCACCACTGTTTGGCACTGTTAGATAGCTTTCAAATAATAGTGCACTTATAGCCGATTGGGCGGCAGACCATCGAAATTGACTTTACATTCAATCAAAAATACAGCATATATTCAATTCTAATGCATTTGATATGATATGAAATTTTTGACAATAATTACGCGAAAATTGCATTGAATTTCATAACAAAAAGTAAAGATTGAAAGATGCGATTCACTCGACTCTTAATGGTTTTCTGATAAATAGTTTTCTGTGTTCACACATACGCTAAGAATTCACAAGAATTCAGAAACTTTTTTGTTATAAATTTCTAATTAATTTTCATAAAAAAACTGCTCTTTTAATCAATTTAAATAGACTATGAATTTAATTAATTAATTAATATTTATATAAAAGTTATATTAAAAAGAAGAAATGCTTACCAAAGACGAGTGGAGGCGATCAAAGCCGGGATGAGATGAAATGATACGCAAGTCTTGAGGTATTTTGTAATTAAAAACTTTTTTTGTGAAGAAAAGCGTTGATTGTGTTCATACGAAGTGTTGGATAAAGGAGATCAGGCCTTAAGAAGTTTGCGATGAAATAAAGACTGCTCAGAATGTGTGAATAAAATGTTCAAATAGTATAGACTTGAATACTGGGTATGTTTGCTATGCTTGGGTCGGGTAAGCATAAGTGCAACTAATAAGGGGTGGAAAGTGCGCAGAGTTGTGGTGTAGTGGTGCGCGCACTCCCATCCAAGTCCTGATCGCAAATGTCCAAAGCGTCGGGTAATTGAGATCCGCCTTCAATATTGAGATACACTATACGAGAGCTGGCATGTAATCAAACGCTAATAAATTAGATGGAAATACATGTAAATTCAAACGATTCAAACAAACCTCCAAACAATATATCAAACTATTATATGATAATGAATTTTATGGTCGATCACAAAACACCATCAAAATTGATAATAAAATACTTTTTTCTACAATAAAATAATATTAAACTTATTATAATAAACGGAAAATTGTTAAGAAACGAAAAAATAAGAAATAAACGTATGGAGAGAGAGAGAGAGAGAGAGAGAGAGGGAGAGAGAGAGAGAGTATGCATGTAATAGGTTATTCTGTATGGAATATCAATTGTGATGTTAATTGAATAATGCATTGAATATTATTGTGAAGAATTTGGTGCTTTGCTCGGAATAGATTAAACTTTACAATCATTAATACAATAATTATATATTCATACTCTTATTGAGTTTCATAACATTTTTCCATAAATATATTGCTTTTCATTTCGTTCTCATTTTGTTGTCATTTTCAACAAAACTCACACAAAAAGGAATCATAAGTTTGTGCGAGACTTGTATAGAGAAAGTACGACTACCGGTGCCGTGGTTTCATTAAAATAGCAAGTATAAGAGTATTGGGTTTTGCTTTATTATTAACTCTAATAGCATTATATTCATTATTATGCAGTCAATGATTGAAAAATGTGGCGTTTGTCACGAAATGATCGAAATTGCAGTCCAATTGCAGTGAACGTCTATAAATGGGAGACTTTTTCAGTGTTTCTCTCAGAAGCTGTTATTGTAAGCAATGTATTCAATATAAGCTATAATGTAATGAACAGCAAATTATTAATGAGACGTCTTGTTTGCCACCAGTCAATACTATACTATTATATTGTATAAAGTGTTATGAGTTCATTAATACACAATTTCAGTAATACCCGTGCAGTACCACCCATTCAATGACAATTACGACAATTCATTGATTTAAAGTCTTAATAAGTATTATCTGTTAGCATGTGTTGTATTGTACGGTAGGGTATAGTGAGTAGAGAATAGAGTGGAGTATATAATAAAACGATGCCTTCTATGGCATAACTCTCACATAAATATAATTCAATTCAATTGAATGTCTATCGAACAGAACTAGAATTACAAAAGTGTTTGCAATAATGTTTGTAATCATTATAATACAATAGCAATGAATAGAATTGGCAGCAAAACTAAATTGTCATGAATTGTCATAACACTAATTAATGGTAACTACTTATTAGTAGTTGATTACCAGCACTATTGAGGCAACACCTTATTAGTGTGTATTTTGTCAAATATTAAGTGCTTTTATTCATGAGTTAAAAACATATAATAAATGTGTTTCGAGTGATGTCTCATTGTTTCCATTCAGGTGTGATTCCCTGATCACTAATTTCGATAAACGCTTTTACAAAAGTTTCCTTTTATTGTCCAATAAATTGTTATCTCTGTTAGTGAAACAAATAAATTGTGTAGGAAGTGACCGCACCGGGAGGTCGTCTCACTCTTCTCATACACACAAATACAGTGAAACACAGGCAAAAAGTTATTCAAAACGCATTTCTCAAACATATACCCGAAATGATTGAAAACGCGTCCACAACTGTAACTATGATTGAGTGGGGCTGAGTCTCATCAGTGCCTTACCAATGCCTCGCCATTGCCTACCTGTGCTCTACCAATCGATTCATTCACATACGAACCCAGAGTAATGTCAGACAATATTTGGCGGATTCGGATGGATTCGGATTCGCATCAATTTTCTCTCTAATTAACTGTCATTTCTAGGTATCACTACAACAACTCAATAATTATGCCATACCTTTCCTACCTCTCCATAACTTTTTCATACCTCTCCTAAACATTAACGAGCCTTTGCTGAGAGCCGAACATTTCTTCTATACTTAACTACTTATAAGTTTATAAACTTCTCTTAAATACAACTATATTTTTGTTTCAAAACGCATTGATGAAAGGTTGAGTGAAATGCAATCAGAGATTATCTTTTGCTCATATTTTTTGATTACATTTCTATAATCTAATACACAATTATCTGGCAATATATATTGGAAAATATTTACAGTATTATTCACAATGATTGAAAAATTATTTGAATTCTTTAGTTAATAAACTATTCTAGTTTTTTATTGCTGACAAATTTTAATGCAACTCTAAAGTTTATTTTTTGAAAATTTATAATTCAGAATAATTCAAAAGTTAATTAAAAATTTAAAAGCTAACTATTCATTAAATCGCGTATAACTTCTAATATATAGAATTGCCTATAATTATATGTAAATCTAATTTATTTGCATAACATATGCACTAAACACCTCTTAATAGAGAACTTCTTTATTAATAATATATTCTTAGCATTCATATGATCTTACATTTTACTCCTAGCATTGCTTCTGGACTACCAATTAGTTGTGTTTTTATTTCAAAAGTTGTTTATTTCAATTTTAATTCTGTAAATTAAATATTTAATATAATTTAGCAACATTATTATTCAATAAAAATTATTTCTGTTTCTATTATTATCCAATGTTTTGAGTTTAAACACGATTTATAATATAAATTTTATTTATTACAGTATTTAAGATATATTGAAGTTTCACACGAATAAATATTACTGATTTGCAATTTCTAATTATAAAT